TATAAGGGAAGTTTATATGTAACTACTCATATATACATACATATATATATGTATATATATTTTTTTTCTTTTGAGACAGGGTCTCACTAAGTTGCTGAGGCTGACTTGGAACTTGAAATCCTCCTGCCTCAGCCTCCTGAGATGCTTGGATTACAGGCACTTGCCACCACTCCCAGCTCAGTTCCTCATTTTAAGGAGCAGTAGCAACTAAACTTGTGTCCCAGAGTGACTTTGTAGGTTCCATGGAAACTCTGTGGACTTGCTTTGTTGAAAACAGTATAGCAAAGACATAAAGTTAGAAGAAGAAAAAAAGACCGGAAAAGATGCAGCTTGTGCAGAGCAGAAGTCTTACAGATTAATAAGAAGGGTGGAGGGAGCCCCCTGTAAGCTTCAGTTGAGAAAAGGGAAAGAGAGCTGATAACTTTGCAGCCCCAAGGATAGAAGAGAAATTTATTAGTTTAGAAAACTAATCCGTAAAATATGCAAAGTGAAGAGAAGAGAGGAAGGAGTTAGAAGGAAGGAGTACGGGAGAGATGAAGGGTACTGGCCGTGAGATCCAGGATACAGTCAGGGAGGATCAGTGAGACGGTCAAAGATGGGAAAAACGCTTGGTCATAATGGATGGCAAGGGTGTCTTTTCTAGAAAGAGGCAAGGCATGCTTTTGAAAAGCTGTGAGTCTTTATTGCCAGAGGCTTCATTCAGTTTTAGAAGAATCCAATCATTAACAAGAACAGACCAGAACAAGGAATTGGTGGGAAATGGTAGAAATCAACCTCCTGCTGAGGAGGTGGGAGGTTATACTGGTTGGTGGGTTGGTCCCAGGACAAGAAGAATAACAGTGCCACACCTCATTGCTTCATCCAGCATTGCAGGGATACTCTAGATCCACATATAAATATGGGAAACCAGGTGATGGCCTTAAGTCAGAGCAAGATGCGAGCCCTTAGTTGGCCACCATTTTCTTCCAGGTCTGAATAAGAGGAAATAACGGATTTAAAGCACAACTTGAAGAATTTTCAGTTAGAGTCAAAGAAGAACTTTCTGGCAAGGAGAGATTTAGTCATCAGAACATCTCCTTAATGAGATTGTAGCTTTTTCTTCTGAAGTGGTCTCTTTAAAAAGGAGAAAACTCTCAGCTCTCTGAAGTGGTTGTGTCTGAAACAGTTTGAAGCCGAGAAAGCACTCAGTGACCTCTTAAGGCAACCCCAAATTTATTCAAGCAGCCAGAGCACCAATATTAAAGAAGTGAAAAATCGATAGAGATTTACTCTGAGAGCTCTTGACCAGGAGCTCTTAAGAAACTTTCCCTTAGGAATTATGTCAGGATTAATATCTAGAGAGCAGATGGGTGTTTTGTATTTAAAAAAAAATACTAAAGACGTGATTTTCTTCGTTTACTCAACCATAGTTCCATACCTTTTTCTTTACAGCTTGAATTCTTGCCTTTTCCTTCCTTCCATGTTTCCATGTCCTTGGATTCTCTTTGACAAGTACCCATGATGCCCCTCTGACTGGGAGAGCTGGGAGCTGTGCCACAGGATTGGCCATGCGAGAGGACCCCCCAGCCCCACTCCGCCTCTTGCCTGCACCTGAGTGCAGACCAGGGGCAGGAGTTTTGGTCG